TTTAACTCATACCATCCAACTAATTCAAAATTGTTCTCACGTGCTACTTTTCTATAATAACATGTTAGATCATCAGAGTATGTATCGTATCATTTCCAATATTCTTTTAATCGTTCATTTACAAGATTTTCTCCTTCTTCTAATATCTTTTTGTCTATTTTTTCTTTTAATTTTACAGGTTTTTTCTCATCATCTAATGTCATTCCTTTCTGGTTTAATTTTATCTCTTCTAACTCTTCGAACAAATCATCCTTTATCTTTATCATCGAATCAAGGGCTTTCTTTCTATCTTTGTGATTTCGATAATATAGTCGTAGAAAATCATGTTGTTCTCCTGAGTCAAATGGTTGTTTGGTTATCTCTTCATAACTTTCTGGCTTAAATTCTTCATTGTAACTTTCAATCAAACTCGAATCTTGTAATTTGATATCAAAAAATATATCAGATACTGATACATCAATCACGTGTTTTGTTCCATTTAATTTCACGATAAATAATCGTAATACATAATTATTTCTTCGATCTATTGAATCTGTTGCATCATATACAAAGAATAAATTTAATTCAATTTCATCAATCAGTTCTTGTCGTTTAGATATTTTATATAACTAAAAATCTAGTTGGTCTTACGACTAACTAAATCATTCAACATAAATCGTTTCTTTTATAAATTTATGAGTTATTTTATATTTTAGTTTATAACATTCTCTACATATGTTATGATGATGAAATTTCTTATCTTTACATATATCACATGTAAGAAATCCATTATAACAATTATATCGATATGATTTACGAATATAATAATTCAAATTATCACAAATATCACAATACATCATATGTAATTCCTCAGCTTTAGCAAGTTCACATTGATACAAAAAAACATTTTTTACACCTTTACAATAATAATTTCCTTCCTTGTCTCTCATCAATCTTCTTTTTTCCATCTTGTCTCCATTTTTTATCCATACATCTTTTTTATCTTTTGTGAGTTTGAATCTATATATCAATACTCTCCAATCGTAAACAAACTCATAAAATCCATGTTTTTCTTCATTTATATCATAGAATAAATATACATCATATAATAACCAGTTTATTCTTCTAAATTTTGTTTGCTCTCTTGGAGTCAGATAAGAAAAAATCTTAAGCCAGATATCATAACAAATGTTGCTCATGATTCTTATGTAGTTAAAAAATTACTCAGTGATCGATCACTAAGCAATTAAATATATTTTATTAACTAGATATTATAAATAAAAAAATAAAATTATTCAATTTTAATATCTTGTAAAATTTTCTGTTGACGTTTAGAATCTCTATATAGTTGCAAAGTTTCGATAAACCTCATCCCTCACTTCTAATTCATTGGAGTTTCAAATCATTAATCACAGACCACCAATTAATATCAAATCCATATTTCTCAGGATTTGATCTTACAAAATCAAAAACTGTATTAATAATAGTTTCATTATCATCTCTTTCATCATAAAAGATCATGATTCTATTTTTTCAAATTCATCTGAAGAATATTCTGAAAATAGATTACTTGAAGTTTGTTGAGACATTTTTTATGTAATTAATTTTCTGTTCAGTATTTACTGAACAGATATATACAAAAAATATAAAATATTGCTATGAAATGAGTTTTTCAAATATTGAATTATACTCTTTAAAACAACAATCAGCTGGTTTATGATCCTCTTTGTTAGAACAATCATTCTCGAACTTGATATGTTCAGGATACATTTTCATGATTCTGGAATCATATTCTTGATACAACTTTGTTAAATACTCAACATCTGTA